ATCCGAGCAGAGGTTCTAGGTTATATCCATACATGGTCCTTGGTGGAGTATCAGTCTCAAAAAGACCCTGTGCCCAGATATATTTGGTCTTTGTGGAGCTCCTATCCTCTCCACATCATACTAACTCCCCCTTCTTTCATATGATTCCCTGCACTCTGCCAAAGGTTTGGTTATGAGTCTTGGTATCTGCTTTGATACACTGCTAGGTAGAGTCTTTCAGAGGCCCTCTGTGGTAGGCTCCTCTCCTGTTACTTGTTTTCTCCTACATCCAATGCCCATCCCATTTGTCTTTCTAAGTGAGGATTGATCATCTTACCCCAGGTCTTCTTTCTTATTTATCTTCTTTAGGTATATAGATTTCAGTATGTTTATCATATCTTATAGGTCTATATAAATGAGTATATACCATGTGTGTCTTTCTCCTTCTGGGATACCTCACTCAGAATGATCTTTTCTAAGAGGGATTCTTCTAAGCTACAGAAAATCCACCTGAATCCACCTCTCACGTCAAATGGAATCCAGATAAGTACTGCCAATCAACAGCTTAAGTTTCCCACCTATTGCCTATCTCAGAGGATGGAATTTCTCCCCCTTTCCATGGTTTTGGGACTTCCCTTTCCTGACTACCCAACTGCTACATTTCTGCATTCAACACCAGCTGATTCACCAGCCTGGTTGGCATCAATGCTTCCTAAGGTTCTCACCAACCTACATCCAAATCCTTCATCTAACTTTTCCCTTGGGTGAGATTCTCTCACTACCAGCATCATGGTTTCTCTCTCTCTCTCTCTCTCTCTCTCTCTCTCTCTCTCTCTCCAAAATCCTAGCACTAGGTAACCATGTCTGCTACTGGCAACTGTGCCCTTGGTCTCTGGCCAACACTGACAAGGTATTGGAACAGATTGTACCATACCAGTCTACTGAATCAAACCTTGTTCTTGGGATGCCTTGACAGGTCACTGACTCCACCTGCCAAACAAGAATGGTCCATTCACCTGCTCTTCCAGATTCTCCTCTGGGACACCTTCTGGAGAATTTCAGATTTCTACACCTATTGCCCACTTTAAGGGCTTCTAAGTTTACACACCTCTGCAACCAAACTTAGCCTCAGTATCCATTAGATGACAGATCCAAAGCAAGACCTTTTTAATTACTGCCAGTGATTGGGTAAATGGAGTTTCCCTATGTTCAAGTCTTTCTTCTTCACTCCAAAACCTTCCCTCTGCTTGCTCTCCCAAAAAGTTTCAAATTCCTAAAAGGAATTTTCTCCTTAACCTACTTAACTTTGTCTTCTGCCAATATGTATGTTCCAGTATCCTGCCAGACCCAGGTGTTTCCTATCTCCAAAACAGTGACCAAAGCAGCTGCCCACAGGTTCCAATCTAACCTTGCAGAGTAAGTCAAGCTGAACCTGCACTTTCCCTCACAGCCACGAATGTTCTCACAGGTCCTGGACAGCATCAAAACAGCCTACTCTTCCTAGGCTTGGCCAACATTTCAGCCTTTGGCCCCCCTATCGCTACCCCAGTGTCAGCAGGCAGTATCCAAAAAGATTCTTCACCTGTTATTCATTTATTAACAACAAAGGGCTGGAACGGTGTGCTTCAGGCCTGGGACAAACAGCTCCAGGTTCTCCCAGCATTCCTTAGTCCCTATCTGATGCAGTGCGTGGCTGGCAAGCCTCACCCTCTACCCTGAACTCTCCAGGGAAAGGGCTTCCCCTCCTCCTCACCATGTAATCTGGACATTTTGGTGCTTTTACTTTTTTCCCCTCTCTCTCCCTTCCCCCTCCCCCGTATGGAGAGCAAGAAATGACCTACATTTATATACTTTAACTTGCCTTAAATGAGGAGTCCAATGTCCTCATTTTTTAATTATGGGAAAAGGGAAAAATGTCAGCGTATAGGCAGCCTGCTTCTCGGTTGCCTAGTAACCTATGATGTCATCATGTGATGCCCGCCAGGCATGTGGCAGACACATCTGGCACAGTTCAGCTGCACACCAGATATAAAAGGACCAACCTGCCACCTCTCTTGCCCTCACTGCTTCGGTCTCTCTCCCCTTTCTCTGTTGTGGCACCCCTCCCCCACATCTCTCTTCCTCTCTTTACCCACATGGCCCACTCGGGCCCTAACTCCCTTCCCCCCAAATGAATCTCTTTCATTTCAGATTTGTTGTATGTGGTAAATTTTGGTAAGAAGTTTTTAACGGGGCTTCTGCTCACCCACTTCTAATTATTTACAATGGCCACATCTCCTTTTAAACTATCGTGTGGGTGGGCACGTGGATGTGGGTGTGCCGATGGCATGGCTTGTGTGGGGATGTCAGAGGACTTGTAGGAGTTGGTTCTTTCCTTTTACCTGTGGGATCCAGAGGTTGAACTCAAGTCAATCGGCTTTGTGCAGTGAGCACTTTATCCACCGAGCACCCTGCCAGCTCCATGTCCCCTTTTACCTAGAGTTACACAGAGATTTGACTCTACTTCAAAAACTTGAAGTTGTGATTAACTTCCTTAAATTTAAAAATTACCTGTGTGTGTGTACTCGCACAAAGGACAGATGACAACTTTGGGGAGTCTGTTTTCTCCTTCTGCCATGTGGGGCCCAGGGACAGAACTCAAAAGCTCAAACAGCAAGCACCTTTACCCACAGGGCCATCTTATCAGCCAAACATTAACTCTTTTATATTATTTTCATACATTCTGTCCTTGCGATCAAAGTATTTGCACAGATTCTTTGTGGAAACCAAAATTCTCTCTCTGACCTGGAACATAATGGATGTTCTCTACTGACACCAGCCTTACTACAGCATCTTTGTTATTTGTTTGTTTCTTTCTACTGACAAAGGCTAAAAGTAGTACTAAGCTCATTGTAGCCAGGCATATTAGTAAATGCCTATCACATCAGCATTTGGGAAGTGGAACCAGGAGGGCCACAGGGTAAATAGACTGGAAAAATTATTCACAGGAAGAGAAAGCAGCCCTTCACTCCTGAGTCTGGTTGAAGTCTCTTGCTTGCTGAGAATCTCAGGACAAGAAAGAAACGCTTCAGGCCTTTCTCCCTTCCTAGCAGCAAACCTGCAATTTTTTAGGAATCTCACTAAAAACCCCCTTTGTCTTAACTCCCTTGTGCAACTGGATCCAGGCTTTATCTTATCAGATTGTAATTCCAGCCAAGGTATTTCCGGAGACATTCTAGACTCTCATTTATCAAGAAGAAAGACAAAAGTAAAATTTCTTAGCAATACTCTGAGGTATAACTTGAAGCCACCAAAACAGTACCTATGGCTAGAACTAAGACAGGGAAATAGGACTCTTGTTTGAGAGGTCTCGGGGTGCCTGGTTTTCCCGAGTACCTTTTTAATAAACTTCAATTCTGCATCTTACTGACTCATCCTCAAGTTCTTTTCTGCAATAAAGCCAAGGATTTACGTTTCACATGAGTTGAGGTTCCTACAAGTTGAAGAGAACACCCCAGTCTGCTTCTGTCTCAGGCTGCTACACCTGACTCCACTGTCAAAGACAGAACTATTCAGAACTGAAAGTCATATTTGTGTACATAACAAGCTTGAGGCCAGCAGTATTTTCCAGTTTTCAGTGGTTTGAACTCTGCTAAATATCCTACTGTCCTCTTAGTGGCTTACTGTTTTGATGTCCAGTTTATTGACATTTTAGTTACAGCTAACATTTACTGAAAACTTCTTTCTATCTTCTGTGTTGAGATTGCTGCATATTATCAAAGACAGTCCTAAGGATAGAGAAGTGTGGATCAAGATTTGATTGGAACAGGAACTTATGAAATACTGAGGCATTTATTAGAAAAAAGTGTAAAATTATGAACAGAAAATTAAATACAGCAGCCAATGTTGATTATGGATGAGAAAATTAGCCAATCAATTAAGATAGCTCCCTGGCCCTTAGAAGAGACTGTAACCTGATTGTAACCTTTCTCATCTAGAAAACCCCCCCCCCCCGTGGCCTCTGCAAGTCTAGGAAGGCTCCTTAGCTCCCCCCATTAATCCTGGAGTACAGGGAAGGGTAGGAGTGAGAACTATCCCTCCTTAAACCTGAGGAAACCTGGGCAGAGCAAGTCGCTCAACGCCGGGGAATCAGAATATTTAAAAGTACACAGATACTCGGCGGTCACCACTGCCATACTCCCGGGAATTCCATTAATGCCCCTGATGTACCCGGATTTCTTCAAGGATGGGGGGGGGGAGCGCGAGGGATTTGGGACTGATGGGTTAAAGTAACAGGAGTTGAAGTGGCAAGAAAGACTCAGGAGACTCAAGAAAGAGATGCCCGGAACATGCTGTACACCTCTAGTGCGGAAATACGCCTTGGGACGCATTAGTAAACCGAGGCAGATAGTTGAGGGAGCTGGCTGGAACCTAGGCCCTTTTATTTAGAAGCTCGGCTACGTCCTAGATGTGCTCCGGGTACCCGCAACTGAAGCAGAGTGAGTACTGGACGCCCGAGGCCAGGCGACAGGAGAACGCGAGGCCGAGGTAGGGATGGTTGGAGGCGTGGTGGCCGACTTAAGGGAAAGTGGGAAGCGACTGGGAATACTTTCAAAGCTTTTCAGGGATGAGGGCGGCGCTCCCCAGGGCCGGAAACCGAGCTCCCAGGCCGGCGTGCACTCGGCCAATGGCTGCGCGATGCGCCGTCCAGCGGTGGCACGCGCGGCACCCGTAGGGTGGCGGCTGCAGAGGACGCCATCCCCCTACGCTTCCCAGAGAAGCCCAGGGCCGCGTAGCCAGCGCTTGGCATGCCTTCCCGCATCCCTCCCCGCCGCCCGCGGCTAGCGCACCTCAGAGCCACCTTGTCTTTAAAATGAAGCGCCCGCACAAAACACAGCCCCGCGCGGCAGACATGGCGGACGGCACGGAGGAAAAGCCGGAAGTGGGCCGTGTGGGCGGGGCCGAGGGGCGGCTCCTCGCGAGGTAGGGGCGTGGCTTGCCGCCGGGAGCCGGGTTTGCAGTCAGGTGCCTAAGTCGCTCTCTCTGCAGCGGCCGCGAGCTCTCCACCTTCTCTAGGGGGCCGGGCCGGACCGGCTCCGCCCCAGCCAGGTGTCGGTCCGTGTCCCAGGTGCCCTCCGGATCTCCGAGATTCCCGTGCCGCAGGCCTGTGCAGCGGGCTAGCAACGATGGAGGACGCCCCCGAGTGCACCCCTTCTCCCTCCGAGTCCACGCAGCCTCCCAGCCCTGCCGGGGAGCCCGAGGCGGCGACCCCCGGGCACTCGGAGGACTGCGCCAGGCCCATAGACACGGTCCCCAAGAAACTCTGTGGGTATTTAAGTAAGTTTGGCGGCAAAGGACCCATCAAGGGCTGGAAATGCCGCTGGTTCTTCTACGACGAGAGGAAGTGCCACTTGTATTATTCGCGCACCGCGCAGGATGCTAACCCCTTGGACAGCATCGATCTCTCTAGTGCGGTGTTTGACTGCAAGGCAGACGCTGAGGAGGAAGGCACTTTTGAAATCAAGACTCCCAGCCGCGTTATTACCCTCAAGGTAAACGAAACTTTCCTCTTTTCCAACTCGAGTGCGTTTTCAGGGCCAGTGTATGGTCACCTGGACTTGGACAGTGGTCACCACCCAGAGCCTGGAGCTTTCCCATAGAGCTTTCACACCATTTCCTTATTGCCTTCCCACAGGCAAGGGTGAAGGATTCGTTTTATGGATCCGAAACCTGAATCATAGAAGAGAATGGCTCAGACCGGGCATTTACAATGATGTGGTCCCTGTTGGAATCTTCCAGTGGTTTATCAGAATTTTAGTGGTGCCTGCAGGCCAATCTGGGCTTGATGTTCTCATGCCCAACTATTCAATTTCCTTAACTTACTTCCTCGATACTGAAGCAGTCGAAATAATGTGGTTGCATTCTTTGAGGCCAGGATCTGATTCATGTCTTGGTGTTTTGGCCAAGGAGAATAAATGCAGACATCGTCAGGGGTTAGGAAGGAAAATATGTAAGTTCGCTCACTGATCATCCTGGTTTGTTCATCCAGGCATGTCTGAACCAGTAAGTTCTTGGTAAATGTCATTTGAATAAACACATATGCACACACAGGGTGATGGAGCCCAAGGTCAGAACCTATCACATTAAGAGCACGTGCCCCGTCTCCTCACTGGAAAGATGGATGTGGGCTTAGTCCTCAAGGTCTTCCTCCCCACTGCCTCTGCTCCATCTCCCTGTACCCTCGACCTGCACTGTCCAGGTGCTAGAATGCCCGCAGGTGTAGGTCTTTTTTCCTGGCAGAGCATGGCTAGTTGGTTAGGCTGGAGGACGGAAGGGGGCTTGCCATTAAAATAATAGGACTTCAGATCTGTAGGCCAGAAAGGACATTTTAGAGGTCATGTGGCCTTGGGTCTTGTGTCCCTTCCACAAGACAAGTGCTGTTGTTACCTCTCCATTCGTACACACATGGCCCTGTGCTAGGCTCTGGGGTGTGGAACAAGTCAGACTTGTTCAGCTCTACCCCTTATTCTCAAACAGCCCTAGGTGTGTTGGGAAAACTGTCAGGCATAGTTACTGCCTTATGGAGACACAGTGAAGAGTTTGGACAGGAACAGTGTGGAGACAGAAGGGATCAGCTCCTCCAAATGGGGAGGAGAGCTTTTCAGAAAGGCATCACTTAAACAAGAAATGATGGGCTTTTTGACACGCAAAGGATAAAGGCAACGATGCTAAGACAGGAAAACACAGTATGACAGTATGAGTATCCGGACAAGCCACAGGGGTCTGGCATACATAGGTGCCCAAATGATGGAGGTGAAGGGGGAGACATTGGTGAGTTAGGCCCAGGGCCTTGGACTTTGTTCAGGAGGCTGTAGAAGCTGTCTAAGAACCTTAAGCTAAAGGAGTACAATAAGATTAGAGTGTCTTGGGAGTTTAGCCTGGCTGTTGGGCAGAGAACAAATTGGGGCAAGAAGACGCTGGTAGCCAGAGAGCCTTGCAGAAATGGACAGGAGGGAATGATGGCTGAGCATGATGGCCCTGGAGAAAAAGCAGATGACCGTAGCCAGGGGTGGTAGGCCAGTCAGTGGGGGCAATGGTAACTGGCTGGTAGCCTGGTTGGAGTAGGGTTGACAGGAGAGACCTCAGGATGAAGAAACTGTAGGGCATCCAGATCCATGCAATATGAAGAAAACTCTGGCCAGAAAATCTAAGGGCTACCTCCTGAGCCTGCGTGTGGACTGAGATCACGTGTGCTGGCCTGTCACAGGGTCTCCAGCTTTAGACAGAGTGGTTGCTCAATGTGAACATGTCAGATGAGTTAAGGAATAAAACGAGGTGTTTGTGTTTACCTGGGCACTATCAGGTCATGGTGAAGCCTAGGGGTAGTCAAGGAACAGAGTATGGAAAGAAAAAAATCGTTCTGTCTTATTGATATCTGTATAACAGGCCAAGGGATGTTCCTAGCAATACCCCTGCTCTAGCTGAGTTTCTGTTGCCTTGAGAAACACCACAACCAAAAGCAATTGGGAGAGGAAAGGGTTTACGTGGCTTATTTACACATCACAGTTTATCCCTGAAGGCAGGAATTCAACCAGGAACCTAGAGGCAGGAACCTAAGCAGAGGCCATAGCAGAACACAGCTTGCTGGCTTGTTTTTCTCGGACTTGCTCAGCTCCCTTTTTATATAGCCTAGAGTCCGGTGGTTCTCAACTTTTGGATATTGTCCATGTAAATATATCAGATATTTACATAATCATTCATAACTAGCACAATTGCAGTTATAAAGTTGCAACAAAAAATAATTTTAAGGTTGGAGGTTGCAGCGTTCGGAAGGTTGAGAACCAGTGGCCTATGTACCTGCCTAGGGACGGCACCACCAGCAGTGGGCCGGGCTCTCCTGCACTCATCAGTAATTAAGAAAGTGCCTCACAGACATGGCCACAGACCAGTCTGATCTGGACAGGTCTTCAGTTAAGTCCCTTTTCCCCAGGTGACTCTGAGTTTGTGTCATGTTGACAGCTGAAGCTCAGTGTGGCAACCTGTCTCCCAACTCAAGTCACACCCTATCCTGAAAGAGTTGCCCTGGTTGTTCCGTAACCTTTGCCATCCTTTCATAGCCTTGAGGCTGACTGTCTGCCCCAGCCAGCTGCCCATTGTCTGTGCGCACCAAAGCTCATGCCTTTAAAATTATGTTTAAAATAAAATTCTGGTTTACAACTGGGAGACATAGTTTCTGGGGCCAACATAGCCACTACACTCCAGGCCTACTTGTATCGCCATCTGTGAAAGAGAATTATCATGCCTGCCTTCTTCCTAGAAGACCCATTAAGCTATTGGATGTACAAACCACTGTTTAGGCCATTAGTTGGGAAACTAATGACTGACACTAACTGCTAATGTGTTTGGAGTGGTGCAGGGTGCTACCATGTTACCGTAGTGTGTATGAGGCTTTCCTGCCCCCATTCATAGCCATGAGCTGGTATGTCCCTGCAACAGGAGGGATTGCCTCTACCCCACAGAAAGACATTGAGAACTTGGTGATGTCCTTCAAGGTGGCTGGTTCCCATCCAGGTCATGATTCAAAGCTCTTTCCTCACTCATGGCATCTCTCTCTTTCTTTTCTTTTCTTTTTTTATTATTATCGTTTATTACAATTTATTCAATTTGTACCCTGGCTGTGGCCCCTTCCCTCATTTCCTCCTAATCCCACCCTCCCTACCTCTTCTCCCCCTATGCCCCTCCCCAAGTCCACTGATAGGGGAGGTCCTTTGACCTTAACCTATGAGGTCTCATCAGGACTGGCTGCATTGTCTTCCTCTGCGTACTAGCAAGGCTGCACCCCGCAGGGGGAGATGATCAGAGAGCCTGCCACTGAGTTCATGCCAGAGAAAGTTCCTGCTCCCCTTAGTAGGGACCCACATGGAGACAAGTCTGTGGGCTACATCTGAGCCTGGGTTTTAGGTCCTGTCCATGCATTGTCCTTGATTGGGGTATCAGTCTTTGAAGGGCCCCCAGGGCTCAGTTTTTATGGCTCTGTTGCTCTCTTTTTGGAGCTCCTGTCCCCTCCAAGTCTAACTCCCCCTTCTTTCATAAGATTACCTGCACTCTGCCCAAAGTTTGGCTATGGGTCTCAGCCTCTGCTTTGATACCTCTACTTAGATACCTCGATCAGTAGAATCTTTCAGAGGCCGTCTGTGGTAGGCTCCCATGCTGTTCCCTGTCTTCTGCTTCTGCTATCGCATTTGTCCTTCTGAATGAGAATTGAGCATCTTCCCTAGGGTCTTCCTTATTGTTTGGCTTCTTTAGGAGTATAGATTTTTATATGTCTATCTATATTATATGTCTAATATCGACTTATAACTGAGTATATATCATTTGTGTCTTTCTGCTTCTGGGATACCTCACTCAGTATGATCTTTTCTAGTTCTCACCATTTGCCTGCAGATTTCATGATTTCCTTGTGCTGAGTAGTATTAGTATTTCATTGTGTAAACACACCGCAATTTCTGTATCCATTCCTCCATTGAGGGACATCTAGGTTGTTTCCAGCTTCCGGCTATTACAAATAGAGCTGCTATGAACATGGTTGAACAAATGTCCTTGTTGTATGGCACCTCTCTTTCTCTGTCCAGGGAATGCTTCTGTGCACCAGCATGTGCCAGGTTCTGTGCTGAGCACTTTATTTTTCTTCGTTTGTCTTCATAACCACTCTATAAAGTTGGTAGTATTGTCACCACGAAACAATTGAGGAAACCTAGGCAAAGAGACGTTGAGGAACCCCTAAGCGGGAAACCAGAGCCTGATCCTTTTCTGTGGTGTTACAGAAATGAATTTAGACCCCAAGTGCTGATCTGTTTTTCCCGGTAAGACCGAGTTCCTCAGCCTTCTGTGACCTCTGAAGGCCACCCTGCTGCCACCTCACTGACTAATGCTTGTTCTTCTCAGGCCGCCACCAAGCAAGTGATGCTCTACTGGCTCCAGCAGCTGCAGATGAAGCGCTGGGAGTTCCACAGCAGCCCACCTGCACTTCCTGCTACCCCTGCCACTGCCCTGGATGAGAACGGACCCACCCTGCACCTCAAGCTAGGTACCAATGGGCTGGCCTCCTGCCACACACCCAAACATTTGATTGCCAAGCCTTTCTCCCATTGCTGGGGATGCGGGAGGAGCCCTCTGCCAAAAAGCAGAACCAGGAATGAATGGGAGGTTGGCCTGGTTAGGACAGGAACATGGGCTCCGAGGCCAGGCTGCCTGAGTTCATGCCTCAGCCATGGGTGATTTCAGGCAAGTTGCCAAGCCTGCCTAAGCTTCAGTTCTTTCCCTGACAAATGAGGTGAATAAATTATACCCATCTTAGCACTCTTCTGAGGCTTCGCTGAATTCATATACCTCAAAGGCTTAGAACAATGTCTGCATACGGTCAGACCCAGCAGAACATTGTGATAGCCCTAGACAATCAGGAAGTTACACTCAGAGTTGTGAGAAGGGTCATTGAGAAAGTTCAATTGCCATGGCCTCTTACAAACTTTTGTAATGATTTGGTGTATCTGTTACTTTAACCCTGATGTTTTCAGAGAACAAAGTTCTTTGTCCCATATTGCCTACAAGTAAGGTTTCTTTCATTTATCTGTATGCGTGCGTGCTTGAATGTGTGTATGTGTGTGTATTTACTGGAGGTTGAATCTAGCACCTCATGAATGCTAGCCAAGCACTCTGCCATTAAGCAAATCTCTTACCTTTGGCTTTGGGGACAGACAGATTCTTGCTGTGTAGCCCAGATTGGCCTCAAAACTCTCAATCCTACCTCAGCCTCGCTAGTGCTAGGATAATAAACATCACGCTGTACTGTAAGTGAAGTTTTGTTTTTTATGTTGTTGGGTGTTTTGTTTTGTTTTGTTTAATCTCAAGTTTTAGAATATCCCAACATGGAGAAGCCTGGGAGATCCCGCTTTCTCCCAGCACTGTTCTGTGGCTGGAAGCGTGGCTAACAGATTTTAGCACGGGGCTGGACTGTCCCACAGCCACTGCAGGAGTGTCTAAAATGCAAACAACTTGAGTTGACGGGCCAGTTACCCAGGGCAGGGCGATGGCCAGATGACGCAGGGGCCACAGCCCCTGGGTGCTTCACATGCCCAGCTCTCTCACCTGTCTGTGGAGTGCCCCCCTCCCTTGGTAGATGCCCTCTATGCCCACTTGTTCTCCCAACAGCGGGCCACACCCCCACCCTTCCTCAGCCTCTACCCTTACCCCCTGAACTGCAGGTCAGTTCCACGTCCCCTCACTGCTGTTCCCTAGGTTAACTCTCTCAGAGTCCTCCTCTCAGTGCCCTCTACCAAGGCCTGTGACTGAACCTGTCCCTTGTAGTCTGAGCTTTCTAAAATGAAAGCCCAGATGGGCAGGTTTGGCCTGACACCTAGGGCTTACCTTAACCCCACCCCATCCTAAGCACATTTCGTCAAGCCACTCAGTGCCCATTTTGTGCCCATGTTTTAGCAGGAGGGTCTCAAGTCCCTCTGTTTTGCCTGGTAGATTCCTGCTTATTCTGTAAGGCAAGGCCCGTGTCACCTCATCTTGTCAACTTCCTCTTGGATGCCGCCTGGGACTTCGCCACCTAGACTCAATATGGATGTTTGACATTCTTTCAAACCTTGCAGGGAGGCCTGTCACATGGTGTCCTGTCCTTGTCAGTCTCCACCCACTAGCCCTTAAGAGTAGGGACCATTTCTCTGTCACCTGTGTCCTTGTCACCTAGTCCTAAGGGTCCGGCCTGGCACAGCAGTTATTTGCAGAGTGAATCTGAGGGTCAATACGTGGGGCTTCATGACTAAGGAAAGGACTGTAGAGTGTAACGTTAGGTGCGCAGGCCTGGCACGTGGTGGCTGCACTAACAGTGTGTGTGTGTACACTATTATTTACGCTATTACTGGCATCATGGTACCTACGCGCACATGGATGCTGTTACTGTCATAGCATGTGTGCTAACCCTGTCACAGTAGTACATACACAGCTGTTTCTTGAACAGCCACTAACTTCTTTGGGGAGTTTTTTTTTTTTTTTGGTTTTTTTTTTTTTTTTTTTTTGCTATGAGACAGTGTCTCACGTAGCCCAGGCCACCCTTGAATTCACTATGTAGCTGAGGCTGTTCTGGAACTCCTGGGCTTCCTGCCTTCTCCTCCTCCTCCCAGGTGCTGGGATTACAGGCGCATACCACCGTATCCAGCTTCAGGCAGGATTTTGAAGGGCTGTTTTTGCACCTATCCTACTGTAGCTCATACCGCTCCACCACCACACAGCCAGGCAACCCCATCCCTGTGGGTAATCATAGCCTGAGTTGACACAGTTGCCAGAGCCAACTTCAGAGCAGAGATGAGCAGAGATGATCCCCCTTCCTGTGTGTGTTGAACTAAAATGTGAAGAACTAGGCTGTGAAAGCATGCTGTGCAAGGAACCCCGTCGGCCTCTTGGGCTGTGCCAGACCTGGCCCAGGCTTCTAATCCTTTAGCTTTGCTTCAGTACACATGACTGTTTGGGGATAGCATTGCTTTGCCTGTGGGGCAGGCAACATGGCGGCCCGTAACCAGGGTGGTGGTGTCCCAGGGAGAGCACTGGCCTGAGATTTGGAAGCAGATGTATAGACTTTCCTTCTGACATCCTCTCCATCATACAAACCTGCCCTGCTGGACCCAGGGCCCGAGCGGAAACTTCCTGCATCATACATACACATATGAGGAACACAGAGACCTTTATGGAGTCTGTTGTTTGTTTGCTTGCTTATTCTGTAGCCCAGGATAGCTTCATTCTCACTATGTAGCCCAGGCCGGCTCTAAAGTCACGGTGATCACCTTGCTTCAGCTTCCCAGATACTAGGTTGTAAGCATGTGCCTGACTCCTTTGAACAAGCTGTTGAGCCTTAGCTTAGCTGTGCGGAGCATGCTGCCCAACCCAGCCCCTCCCCATCCTTCCTGAGGAAGCAGAAGGCTGTGCAAGCCTCCTGATCCACTTCTGACTTTGAGTCACTGAGGCTGGGTCCTGTAAAAAAAAAAAAAAAAAGTTGTGTCACGCCCTTGAGCAATCTGAAGGGTGTGTTCTATACAGCTTTTCAGCATTTGTACTTCACGGCACAGGGGCCTCCAGAGAGCCAGGAACAATCAGAGGAAAGCTAACAGATTCCTATAATAACACATTGCCAAAACCACACAGCTGACAGGGGGCATTCATAAGTGTGTGTCATCAAATATCCCCGTGCCATTTGCCGGCAGTGCTCTGGCGGTGAGCATGTGCCATCTCGCTCCTTTGTCCTTGAGGTGTTAGTCTCATTTGTAGCAGAGCAAGCTAAGACCCCTGGTAAGGAACTGCCCAGCCTAAAATTCAAGCTGCAGCCTGCAGGTTCACCCTCAGAGCTGGGAGGGCATTCAGGGCTATACCACCAAAGCAGCCCCCCCCCCCCCAGCCTAGGCCTTCTTTTTGTATGGGCAGGCTCTTCCTTGTAGTGATGAACCCAGGCCTTCATTCGAGGAGTCTGAGGGCTGCTGAATAATAAGCCTAGCGTGATTGCCTCACTGGGGCCTTTCTCCAGGCACGAGGAGCCAGGGCCTCATCTGTGGCCAGTGGGAGGTGTTAGTCTCGGCTGAGGTAAGGCCAGCGAGTGTACCCGTCCATTTAGTATCTGCAATAGCCGGTGCCTTTGGAGGCACAACCACTTTTCAGGAACAGAATGCTGCCCCAGTGAACCACAGGGTTTAGTGGAGAAGGCAAAGTGGCTGAATTGCATCTGAGTTCACGTCAGCTGCTGGCTGTGGCCTTCACCACAGGCCTTATCCTTTCCAAGCTGCTTTTATTGGTGCTACCCCGCAGGCAGTGTCTTGTAGCCTCAGAGTTGATCTTGGGTCACAGGCAGAGAGAAGATGTGAGAGCTGACATTGCAAAAGAAATACTAGAACCTGAGAAAAACTGATTTTGTTTGCCCTGAGTGAGGGAGAGGGAAGGTGGTCAAAGCATTGATGAATAAGACAATTTCATATTGAATCCATTCAAAATCTGAAAGATTGGAGTCCACATTATGAGGCCTTATCCCTTCCTATTTCTGTGAGCTCTGGCCTTAAAAAAACACAAGGTAGAGAGTGGCCTGCTTGAGATTTCATTTACTTATTTTGGTGTAAGTAATTTCCCCCTCACTCATTTACACACAGAGATATGTATACATATACATGCACACAAGTACACACCCCCCCTACCCCACATACTTCCCTCAAATCATACACACACACACACACACACACACACACACACACACACACACACACA